AACGATAGATAGATAGATAGATAGATAGATAGATAGATAGATAGATAGATAGATAGATAGATAGATGGATGGATGGATGGATGGATAGATAGATAGATAGATAGATAGATAGATAGATAGATAGATGGATGGATGGATGGATGGATAGATAGATAGATAGATAGATAGATAGATAGATAGATAGATAGATAGATAGATAGATAGACCCTGATCTGACGCAAAACTATACAGTTTGGTTCCATCTACTGTAAGCTTTATGGTAAGGGTGGTGTTGGTATGAAATCTCACCAGTTCCCCTGAAAGTGCTCGAGTGGCGCTCCAGCACTCAAACTTTCATGGGTAGCCAGAGATCAGAGGTGTGCAATTAGCTTGACCAATACCTGCCTGCCAGTCTGATTGTTTGGCCTGCCGCTAGCCGAGAAAAGAGTTCCTCGAATTCTTATTACGACGGGGGCTCAGTTTGTCACAATTTCATTTCAGTAATCATGTACAGAAGACAGTCATAATTACAGCACTTTAACGCTGTAGTGATAACTTAAACATTTTTTATTCACCACCTTCAAATTGGCGGTGTAGAGACAGTCCCTCTAAAATTTAATGTAAATTCAGCTTGTGTTGTTCAATATTTCTTCCATTTTGCACGCAAATCAAAGCAAGTTTAAATTAGATTGTGATGTCAAGGGACATGACTCTTATCTTTACTGTGGGAACTAGATAATCAGGGGAGTAGCACGCCCTTGGATGACATCAAGAGCTTGGCGCGAAAAATAGAGAGATCGTCTGAGAGACTCACGGAGGTAGCCAGTCGAACTCAGGACCACTACGAGACAACACCTACCTTGGACGGGGGCCCCCTGACAGACCCGACGCATCGGACCGCCAGGTAACTTTACATGGTGTCAGAAGTGGGGTGTATGTCGTCACAAACCTGAATGAGCCTCTGTTAGGTAGACCAGCTATAGAAGCTTTGAAACTCTTGGAGAGAGTGAACGAGGTGAAGAAACAAAGTATACCTTCGGAATGTCCAGAGTTATTTACGGGGTTAGGAAAGATAAACAAGCCCTACAAGATCACACTGGATCAAGAAGCAAAACCGTTTTCTGTTGCGGTTCCTCATCGACTACCCCTGCCACTGAAAGAAAAGGTGAAAGAAGAGCTTGAGAAGATGGTGGAGCAAGAAGTTATTGAGCCAGTCTCTGAGCCAACAGACTGGTGTGCCCCCATTGTTGCCATTCCCAAGCCAAACGGAACAATCAGGTTATGTGTAGACTTCACCAAGTTGAATGAAAGTGTGCAAAGAGAAAATTTTCCCCTACCTACAACAACAGATCAGCTGCTAGCTCAACTCTCGGGATGTGAATATTTTAGTAAGCTAGACTGCAATAGTGGATTTTTTCAAATACCACTAGAGAAAGAGTCACAAAAGTTAACAACTTTTTTAACGCCATACGGGAGGTACTGCTTCAAGAGGTTGCCTTTCGGAATCAGCTCAGGACCGGAGGTCTTTCAAAGGGAAATGACCCAAATCTTGTCGGGTATTCCTGGAGTGGTGGACGACATTGACGATGTCTTGATCGGAGGAAAGGATAAGGAAGAACACGACAGGAGACTTCATATGGTACTTCAAAGAAAGAGGCAAGCAGGAGTCACCCTAAACGAAAAGTGTGTTTTTTGCGTCAAATCCATCAAATTCCTCTGACACATTATATCCAAAGAAGGCATACAAATAGACCCAGAAAAGGTGGAAGCCATCACAAAGTTACCGAGACCAGAAAAGATAGCCGATGTGCGAAGTTTCCTAGGCATGTTGAATCACATAGGAAAGTTTGCACCCGGTCTGGCAGAAAGGACAAAGCCGTTGAGAGATTTACTAAGAAAAGAAACAATATGGACCTGGGATGATCCGAAGGAACAAGCATTTCAGTCATTAAAGAAACAGATGAGTACAGCACCTTTACTCATTCACTACAGTCCTCAAAAGTCAACAAAGATATCAGCTGATGCATCATCCTATGGCATGGGTGGTGTACTGGTGCAAAAAGAAGGCACAGATTGGAAACCAGTCTATTGTGTGTCAAGGTCACTTACAGATACAGAGCGAAGATATGCACAAGTTGAAAAAAGGAAGCCTTAGCAGTTACTTGGTGCTGCGAGAGATTTGCAGACTTTTTGGTGGGATTGCCAAAATTCCTCATTGAAACAGATCACAAACCACTTCTTCAACTGATGAAAACAAAGTATCTGGATGAATTGACCCCTCGCATTCAGAGATTTAGGATGAGAATGATGAGGTTTTCCTACAATATCGTCCATGTACCCAGAAAGAATTTGGTAACAGTCGATGCATTGTCAAGAGCTCCGGTGGGAGTGCCAAGTAAAGAAGATTATCAAATGGAAGAAGAGTGTGAGCTACACATCAGATCTGTCCTGGAAGGATTCCCAGCAAGTGACAAGAAATTGCAAGAAATTAGAGAGCAGCAAGATGCAGACGAAATCTGTAAGAAATTAAAAGAATACTGTCAGTCCTCATGGCCAGCGACAACCAAAGTCGATCCAGTTATGAAGCCATATTGGACGTCGAGAGACGAGCTGACTGTGGAACAAGGTTTGCTACTATACCAATGCCGAATAATTGTTATTCCCACAATATTAAGACAGGATATATTGAAACGTCTTCACGAAGGACACCAGGGGATAGTCAACAGGGGATAGTCAAGTGCAGTGCGCTGGCTCGAAGCAGTGTATGGTGGCCTGGACTGTCACAACAAATCGAAACGTTGGTTACAAACTGTCCAGACTGTGAAAAAGAAAGAAAGGTCAGTCCAGAACCATTAAAGCCGACAGTCACTCCAGACTACCCTTGGCAAAGGGTGGGTATGGATCTTTTTGTGTGGAAAGGTCACACATATCTACTAATAGTAGACTATTACTCGAGGTGGATTGAGATAGCTCATCTAAGAGAGCCTACTGCTTCAAATGTCGTAGAACATTGCAAGTCAATCTTTGCTAGATTTGGAGTTCCTGAAATCGTCGTCTCAGACAATGGATTCCAGTTCGTTGCACACGAGTTTCAAAAGTTCTCACAGTACTATGGTTTAACGCACATGAGAAACAGCCCTCTACATCCTCAGAGTAATGGAGAAGCTGAAAGAGCCGTCAAAACTATCAAAATGTTACTGAGTAAGTCTGATGATCCTTACTTGGCTCTCATGAACTACCGCTCCACTCCTTTACAGCAAGGACAGAGCCCAGCAGAACTTCTAATGGGTAGGAAAATCAGGACAAGAGTGCCCATTTTCCCAGAAAAATTGGTCCCAAAGGGGGGAGAAAGGCAGGACATTTTTTTAATTGGCTCAAAGAGAGAAGTGGCCCCTCTTGTTATGTAGACTCTTTGTAGGTATCAAGGTATCGAGTATCTCGTATCGATACCTTCCCATCACTACCGCGAAATTGAACTGGTGAAGTTTAGAGTAGTGATGGGCCGATACCACAATTTAGATATCGATGTTGATATCTAGTACTTTTTCAAGGTATTGATACCGATACCTCGATACCTAATGCTTTTAGTAACATACGTCGGGGGTAATAAGTAAAGACAAAAATACAACTATACTTTTCCAAGTATTTAGGTAATCGCGTCTAGACAAGTTGTGACTATTTAGTTGAGACTCTAACAAAAATTATTTGTGTGTGAGAGAGAGAGAGAGTAAATACCCAAGTATGAGAATAAAAACAAAAATTAAGTGAAGTATGGGAGGAAAGTCAACTTTGCAGAAAAATGTTAGTATTGGAAAATAAAAACACAAGAGTTCTAAAAAGGCAATTCAATTTCCCAGATTTTTAGCAACTTTAAATTAAACTAATGAGGATAAATCAGGGTTGTCAGTGAGGATTTTGCAAAATCACCAGATAGATTTCATGAAAAACTTCTCTTTTTTTTTGTTGAAAAATCACTAAATTAATTTAAAACGCTTGCCCCCTACGAAAACTTATCAGTTTTGCTAAACAAAAAATTCTCATGGCCCAAGTCACTTGCTTTGGCAGCACTGGGATAAATAACACATAGGTA